CTCCAAGTGCAACACTCACATGCTCCAAGTGCAACACTCACATGCTCCAAGTGCAACACTCACATGCTCCAAGTGCAACACTCACATGCTCCAAGTGCAACACTCACATGCTCCAAGTGCAACACTCACATGCTCCAAGTGCAACACTCACATGCTCCAAGTGCAACACTCACATGCTCCAAGTGCAACACTCACATGCTCCAAGTGCAACACTCACATGCTCCAAGTGCAACACTCACATGCTCCAAGTGCAACACTCACATGCTCCAAGTGCAACACTCACATGCTCCAAGTGCAACACTCACATGCTCCAAGTGCAACACTCACATGCTCCAAGTGCAACACTCACATGCTCCAAGTGCAACACTCACATGCTCCAAGTGCAACACTCACATGCTCCAAGTGCAACACTCACATGCTCCAAGTGCAACACTCACATGCTCCAAGTGCAACACTCACATGCTCCAAGTGCAACACTCACATGCTCCAAGTGCAACACTCACATGCTCCAAGTGCAACACTCACATGCTCCAAGTGCAACACTCACATGCTCCAAGTGCAACACTCACATGCTCCAAGTGCAACACTCACATGCTCCAAGTGCAACACTCACATGCTCCAAGTGCCGCAACCACTCACATGCTCCAAGTGCAACACTCACATGCTCCAAGTGCAACACTCACATGCTCCAAGTGCAACACTCACATGCTCCAAGTGCAACACTCACATGCTCCAAGTGCAACACTCACATGCTCCAAGTGCAACACTCACATGCTCCAAGTGCAACACTCACATGCTCCAAGTGCAACACTCACATGCTCCAAGTGCAACACTCACATGCTCCAAGTGCAACACTCACATGCTCCAAGTGCAACACTCACATGCTCCAAGTGCAACACTCACATGCTCCAAGTGCAACACTCACATGCTCCAAGTGCAACACTCACATGCTCCAAGTGCAACACTCACATGCTCCAAGTGCAACACTCACATGCTCAAGCAACACTCACATGCTCCAAGTGCAACACTCACATGCTCCAAGTGCAACACTCACATGCTCCAAGTGCAACACTCCATGCTCCAAGTGCAACACTCACATGCTCCAAGTGCAACACTCACATGCTCCAAGTGCAACACTCACATGCTCCAAGTGCAACACTCACATGCTCCAAGTGCAAACACTCACATGCTCCAAGTGCAACACTCACATGCTCCAAGTGCAACAACTCACATGCTCCAAGTGCAACACTCACATGCTCCAAGTGCAACACTCACATGCTCCAAGTGCAACACTCACATGCTCCAGTGCAACACTCACATGCTCCAAGTGCAACACTCACATGCTCCAGTGCAACACTCACATGCTCCAAGTGCAACCTCACATGCTCCAAGTGCAACACTCCACATGCTCCAAGTGCAACACTCACATGCTCCAAGTGCACACTCACATGCTCCAAGTGGCAACACTCACATGCTCCAAGTGCAACACTCACTATGCTCCAAGTGCAACACTCACATGCTCCAAGTGCAACACTCACATGCTCCAAGTGCAACACTCACATGCTCCCAAGTGCAACACTCACATGCTCCAGTGCAACACTCACAATGCCCCTCTCAAGTGCAACACTCACATGCTCCAAGTGCAACACTCACATGCTCCAGTGCACACTCCTGCTCCAAGTGCATCTCATCACATGCTCCAAGTGCAACACTCACACTCACATGCTCCAAGTGCAACACTCACATGCTCCAAGTGCAACACTCACATGCCCCTCTCGCAACACTCAAAGGCTCCAAGTGCAACACTCACATGCCCCTCTCGCAACACTCACATGCTCCAAGTGCAACACTCACATGCCCCTCTCGCAACACTCACATGCTCCAAGTGCAACACTCACATGCTCCAGTGCAACACTCACATGCTCCAAGTGCAACACTCACATGCTCCAAGTGCAACACTCACATGCTCCAAGTGCAACACTCACATGCTCCATCTCGCAACACTCACATGCTCCAAGTGCAACACTCACATGCCCCTCTCGCAACACTCACATGCTCCAAGTGCAACACTCACATGCCCCTCTCGCAACACTCACATGCTCCAAGTGCAACACTCACATGCCCCTCTCGCAACACTCACATGCCCTCTCGCAACACTCACATGCCCTCTCGCAACACTCACATGCCCCTCTCGCAACACTCACATGCCCCTCTCGCAACACTCACATGCCCCTCTCGCAACACTCACATGCCCCTCTCGCAACACTCACATGCCCCTCTCGCAACACTCACATGCCCCTCTCGCAACACTCACATGCCCCTCTCGCAACACTCACATGCCCCTCTCGCAACACTCACATGCCCCTCTCGCAACACTCACATGCCCCTCTCGCAACACTCACATGCCCCTCTCGCAACACTCACATGCCCCTCTCGCAACACTCACATGCCCCTCTCGCAACACTCACATGCCCCTCTCGCAACACTCACATGCCCCTCTCGCAACACTCACATGCCCCTCTCGCAACACTCACATGCTCCAAGTGCAACACTCACATGCCCCTCTCGCAACACTCACATGCCCCTCTCGCAACACTCACATGCCCCTCTCGCAACACTCACATGCCCCTCTCGCAACACTCACATGCTCCAAGTGCAACACTCACATGCCCCTCTCGCAACACTCACATGCTCCAAGTGCAACACTCACATGCCCCTCTCGCAACACTCACATGCTCCATGTGCAACACTCACATGCCCCTCTCGCAACACTCACATGCCCCTCTCGCAACACTCACATGCCCCTCTCGCAACACTCACATGCCCCTCTCGCAACACTCACATGCCCCTCTCGCAACACTCACATGCCCCTCTCGCAACACTCACATGCCCCTCTCGCAACACTCACATGCTCCAAGTGCAACACTCACATGCCCCTCTCGCAACACTCACATGCTCCAAGTGCAACACTCACATGCCCCTCTCGCAACACTCACATGCTCCATGTGCAACACTCACATGCCCCTCTCGCAACACTCACATGCCCCTCTCGCAACACTCACATGCCCCTCTCGCAACACTCACATGCCCCTCTCGCAACACTCACATGCCCCTCTCGCAACACTCACATGCCCCTCTCGCAACACTCACATGCTCCAAGTGCAACACTCACATGCCCCTCTCGCAACACTCACATGCTCCAAGTGCAACACTCACATGCCCCTCTCGCAACACTCACATGCCCCTCTCGCAACACTCACATGCCCCTCTCGCAACACTCACATGCCCCTCTCGCAACACTCACATGCCCCTCTCGCAACACTCACATGCCCCTCTCGCAACACTCACATGCTCCAAGTGCAACACTCACATGCCCCTCTCGCAACACTCACATGCTCCATGTGCAACACTCACATGCCCCTCTCGCAACACTCACATGCCCCTCTCGCAACACTCACATGCCCCTCTCGCAACACTCACATGCTCCAAGTGCAACACTCACATGCCCCTCTCGCAACACTCACATGCTCCAAGTGCAACACTCACATGCCCCTCTCGCAACACTCACATGCTCCAAGTGCAACACTCACATGCCCCTCTCGCAACACTCACATGCCCCTCTCGCAACACTCACATGCCCCTCTCGCAACACTCACATGCTCCAAGTGCAACACTCACATGCCCCTCTCGCAACACTCACATGCTCCAAGTGCAACACTCACATGCCCCTCTCGCAACACTCACATGCTCCAAGTGCAACACTCACATGCCCCTCTCGCAACACTCACATGCTCCAAGTGCAACACTCACATGCCCCTCTCGCAACACTCACATGCTCCAAGTGCAACACTCACATGCCCCTCTCGCAACACTCACATGCTCCAAGTGCAACACTCACATGCCCCTCTCGCAACACTCACATGCCCCTCTCGCAACACTCACATGCCCCTCTCGCAACACTCACATGCCCCTCTCGCAACACTCACATGCCCCTCTCGCAACACTCACATGCCCCTCTCGCAACACTCACATGCCCCTCTCGCAACACTCACATGCCCCTCTCGCAACACTCACATGCCCCTCTCGCAACACTCACATGCCCCTCTCGCAACACTCACATGCCCCTCTCGCAACACTCACATGCCCCTCTCGCAACACTCACATGCCCCTCTCGCAACACTCACATGCCCCTCTCGCAACACTCACATGCCCCTCTCGCAACACTCACATGCCCCTCTCGCAACACTCACATGCCCCTCTCGCAACACTCACATGCTCCAAGTGCAACACTCACATGCCCCTCTCGCAACACTCACATGCCCCTCTCGCAACACTCACATGCCCCTCTCGCAACACTCACATGCCCCTCTCGCAACACTCACATGCTCCAAGTGCAACACTCACATGCCCCTCTTGCAACACTCACATGCTCCAAGTGCAACACTCACATGCCCCTCTCGCAACACTCACATGCTCCATGTGCAACACTCACATGCCCCTCTCGCAACACTCACATGCCCCTCTCGCAACACTCACATGCCCCTCTCGCAACACTCACATGCCCCTCTCGCAACACTCACATGCCCCTCTCGCAACACTCACATGCCCCTCTCGCAACACTCACATGCTCCAAGTGCAACACTCACATGCCCCTCTCGCAACACTCACATGCTCCAAGTGCAACACTCACATGCCCCTCTCGCAACACTCACATGCCCCTCTCGCAACACTCACATGCCCCTCTCGCAACACTCACATGCCCCTCTCGCAACACTCACATGCCCCTCTCGCAACACTCACATGCCCCTCTCGCAACACTCACATGCTCCAAGTGCAACACTCACATGCCCCTCTCGCAACACTCACATGCTCCAAGTGCAACACTCACATGCCCCTCTCGCAACACTCACATGCTCCATGTGCAACACTCACATGCCCCTCTCGCAACACTCACATGCCCCTCTCGCAACACTCACATGCCCCTCTCGCAACACTCACATGCTCCAAGTGCAACACTCACATGCCCCTCTCGCAACACTCACATGCTCCAAGTGCAACACTCACATGCCCCTCTCGCAACACTCACATGCCCCTCTCGCAACACTCACATGCCCCTCTCGCAACACTCACATGCCCCTCTCGCAACACTCACATGCTCCAAGTGCAACACTCACATGCCCCTCTCGCAACACTCACATGCTCCAAGTGCAACTCACATGCCCCTCTCGCAACACTCACATGCCCCTCTCGCAACACTCACATGCCCCTCTCGCAACACTCACATGCCCCTCTCGCAACACTCACATGCCCCTCTCGCAACACTCACATGCCCCTCTCGCAACACTCACATGCCCCTCTCGCAACACTCACATGCCCCTCTCGCAACACTCACATGCCCCTCTCGCAACACTCACATGCCCCTCTCGCAACACTCACATGCCCCTCTCGCAACACTCACATGCCCCTCTCGCAACACTCACATGCCCCTCTCGCAACACTCACATGCCCCTCTCGCAACACTCACATGCCCCTCTCGCAACACTCACATGCCCCTCTCGCAACACTCACATGCCCCTCTCGCAACACTCACATGCCCCTCTCGCAACACTCACATGCCCCTCTCGCAACACTCACATGCTCCAAGTGCAACACTCACATGCCCCTCTCGCAACACTCACATGCCCCTCTCGCAACACTCACATGCCCCTCTCGCAACACTCACATGCCCCTCTCGCAACACTCACATGCTCCAAGTGCAACACTCACATGCCCCTCTCGCAACACTCACATGCTCCAAGTGCAACACTCACATGCCCCTCTCGCAACACTCACATGCTCCATGTGCAACACTCACATGCCCCTCTCGCAACACTCACATGCCCCTCTCGCAACACTCACATGCCCCTCTCGCAACACTCACATGCCCCTCTCGCAACACTCACATGCCCCTCTCGCAACACTCACATGCCCCTCTCGCAACACTCACATGCTCCAAGTGCAACACTCACATGCCCCTCTCGCAACACTCACATGCTCCAAGTGCAACACTCACATGCCCCTCTCGCAACACTCACATGCCCCTCTCGCAACACTCACATGCCCCTCTCGCAACACTCACATGCCCCTCTCGCAACACTCACATGCCCCTCTCGCAACACTCACATGCTCCAAGTGCAACACTCACATGCCCCTCTCGCAACACTCACATGCTCCAAGTGCAACACTCACATGCCCCTCTCGCAACACTCACATGCTCCAAGTGCAACACTCACATGCCCCTCTCGCAACACTCACATGCTCCATGTGCAACACTCACATGCCCCTCTCGCAACACTCACATGCCCCTCTCGCAACACTCACATGCCCCTCTCGCAACACTCACATGCTCCAAGTGCAACACTCACATGCCCCTCTCGCAACACTCACATGCTCCAAGTGCAACACTCACATGCCCCTCTCGCAACACTCACATGCTCCAAGTGCAACACTCACATGCCCCTCTCGCAACACTCACATGCCCCTCTCGCAACACTCACATGCCCCTCTCGCAACACTCACATGCCCCTCTCGCAACACTCACATGCTCCAAGTGCAACACTCACATGCCTTTCTCGCAACACTCACATGCTCCAAGTGCAACACTCACATGCCCCTCTCGCAACACTCACATGCTCCAAGTGCAACACTCACATGCCCCTCTCGCAACACTCACATGCCCCTCTCGCAACACTCACATGCCCCTCTCGCAACACTCACATGCCCCTCTCGCAACACTCACATGCCCCTCTCGCAACACTCACATGCCCCTCTCGCAACACTCACATGCCCCTCTCGCAACACTCACATGCCCCTCTCGCAACACTCACATGCCCCTCTCGCAACACTCACATGCCCCTCTCGCAACACTCACATGCCCCTCTCGCAACACTCACATGCCCCTCTCGCAACACTCACATGCCCCTCTCGCAACACTCACATGCCCCTCTCGCAACACTCACATGCCCCTCTCGCAACACTCACATGCCCCTCTCGCAACACTCACATGCCCCTCTCGCAACACTCACATGCCCCTCTCGCAACACTCACATGCCCCTCTCGCAACACTCACATGCCCCTCTCGCAACACTCACATGCCCCTCTCGCAACACTCACATGCCCCTCTCGCAACACTCACATGCCCCTCTCGCAACACTCACATGCCCCTCTCGCAACACTCACATGCCCCTCTCGCAACACTCACATGCCCCTCTCGCAACACTCACATGCCCCTCTCGCAACACTCACATGCCCCTCTCGCAACACTCACATGCCCCTCTCGCAACACTCACATGCCCCTCTCGCAACACTCACATGCCCCTCTCGCAACACTCACATGCCCCTCTCGCAACACTCACATGCCCCTCTCGCAACACTCACATGCCCCTCTCGCAACACTCACATGCCCCTCTCGCAACACTCACATGCCCCTCTCGCAACACTCACATGCCCCTCTCGCAACACTCACATGCCCCTCTCGCAACACTCACATGCCCCTCTCGCAACACTCACATGCCATGCCCCTCTCGCAACACTCACATGCCCCTCTCGCAACACTCACATGCCCCTCTCGCAACACTCACATGCCCCTCTCGCAACACTCACATGCCCCTCTCGCAACACTCACATGCCATGCCCCTCTCGCAACACTCACATGCCCCTCTCGCAACACTCACATGCCCCTCTCGCAACACTCACATGCCCCTCTCGCAACACTCACATGCCCCTCTCGCAACACTCACATGCCCCTCTCGCAACACTCACATGCCCCTCTCGCAACACTCACATGCCCCTCTCGCAACACTCACATGCCCCTCTCGCAACACTCACATGCCCCTCTCGCAACACTCACATGCCCCTCTCGCAACACTCACATGCCCCTCTCGCAACACTCACATGCCCCTCTCGCAACACTCACATGCCCCTCTCGCAACACTCACATGCCCCTCTCGCAACACTCACATGCCCCTCTCGCAACACTCACATGCCCCTCTCGCAACACTCACATGCCCCTCTCGCAACACTCACATGCCCCTCTCGCAACACTCACATGCCCCTCTCGCAACACTCACATGCCCCTCTCGCAACACTCACATGCCCCTCTCGCAACACTCACATGCCCCTCTCGCAACACTCACATGCCCCTCTCGCAACACTCACATGCCCCTCTCGCAACACTCACATGCCCCTCTCGCAACACTCACATGCCCTCTCGCAACACTCACATGCCCTCTCGCAACACTCCCCTCTCGCAACACTCACATGCCCCTCTCGCAACACTCACATGCCCCTCTCGCAACACTCACATGCCCCTCTCGCAACACTCACATGCCCCTCTCGCAACACTCACATGCCCCTCTCGCAACACTCACATGCCCCTCTCGCAACACTCACATGCCCCTCTCGCAACACTCACATGCCCCTCTCGCAACACTCACATGCCCCTCTCGCAACACTCACATGCCCCTCTCGCAACACTCACATGCCCCTCTCGCAACACTCACATGCCCCTCTCGCAACACTCACATGCCATGCCCCTCTCGCAACACTCACATGCCCCTCTCGCAACACTCACATGCCCCTCTCGCAACACTCACATGCCCCTCTCGCAACACTCACATGCCCCTCTCGCAACACTCACATGCCCCTCTCGCAACACTCACATGCCCCTCTCGCAACACTCACATGCCCCTCTCGCAACACTCACATGCCCCTCTCGCAACACTCACATGCCCCTCTCGCAACACTCACATGCCCCTCTCGCAACACTCACATGCCCCTCTCGCAACACTCACATGCCCCTCTCGCAACACTCACATGCCCCTCTCGCAACACTCACATGCCCCTCTCGCAACACTCACATGCCCCTCTCGCAACACTCACATGCCCCTCTCGCAACACTCACATGCCCCTCTCGCAACACTCACATGCCCCTCTCGCAACACTCACATGCCCCTCTCGCAACACTCACATGCCCCTCTCGCAACACTCACATGCCCCTCTCGCAACACTCACATGCCCCTCTCGCAACACTCACATGCCCCTCTCGCAACACTCACATGCCCCTCTCGCAACACTCACATGCCCCTCTCGCAACACTCACATGCCCCTCTCGCAACACTCACATGCCCCTCTCGCAACACTCACATGCCCCTCTCGCAACACTCACATGCCCCTCTCGCAACACTCACATGCCCCTCTCGCAAGGGGAAGAGTAGCGTGCAACTACAGCGTCGTACAGAGTCTGAGCACTCTTGTACTGACTAAAGTGCGCGCGCTCAGTAGGCGGTAGGTGACTGCGCACAGCAAGGCGGGCAGCAGCATCGCGCGTGAGCCACTGCGAGCGAACGGTACTGTAAGCATCAGCAGCAGGGGCAGTAGAGGCGCCCGACGTAAGGTCAAACAGGGAGAGGCCATCTCTGCTATCGCACTGAAGGAAAAGCTGTAAATCATCTAGCCAGACATCAAAGGCAACCGCTCGACCCTCAGTATCAAAGGTGAGAAGGGTAGGACTAGCCATGATAAGTGCAGCAGGAGACTAGCAGTGGCAGCAGTGCAACTAAGCTAGGCAGGACAGTGCGACTCGGCAGGGCGACTCGGCAGCGCAGTGTGACTCGGCCAGGCTCTTACCAGGGGCAGAGCCGAGAGGTCGGGACGGGGTCGGGGCCGGAACAGGGCCGGGACAGGGTCGGGGCCGAGCAGGGTCCGGGACGGGGCAGCTCAGGGACCGGGACTGGGCCGGGTCGTGAAGGGACGGCGTAGGGGCCGCGTCAGGTGCCGTGGCAGGGGCAGCGTCGGGGGCCGCGTCAGGGGCCGCGGCAGGGGCAGCGTCGGGGGCCGCGTCAGGGGCCGCGTCAGGGGCCGCGTCAGGGGCGGCGTAGGGGCCGCGACAGGGGCGGCGTAGGGGCCGCGTAGGGGCGGCGCAGGGGGCGCGGCAGGGGCGGTGCAGGGGCCGCGTCAGGGGCCGTGCAGGGGCCGCGGCAGGGGCGGTGTAGGGGCCGCGTCAGGGGCCGCGACAGGGGCGACGTAGGGGCCGCGTCAGGGGCCGCGGCAGGGCGCCGCCAGGGGCCGCGTCAGGGCCGCGTCAGGCCGCGTCAGGGGCCGCGTCAGGGCGCCGCCAGGGGCCGCGTCAGGGCGCCGCGTCAGGGGCCGCGTCAGGGCCGCATAGGGCCGAGTCAGGGGCCGCGTCAGGGGCGACGTAGGGGCCGCGTCAGGGGCCGCGTCAGGCCGCGTCAGGGGCCGCGTCAGGGCCGCGTCAGGCCGCGTCAGGGGCCGCCTCAGGGCGCCGCCAGGGGCCGCGTCAGGGCGCCGCCAGGGGCCGCGTCAGGGGCCGCGTCAGGGCGCCGCCAGGGGCCGCGTCAGGGCACCGCCAGGGGCCGCGTCAGGGCCGCGTCAGGCCACGTCAGGGGCCGCGTCAGGGCGCCGGCAGGGGCCTCGTCAGGGCGCCGCCAGGGGCCGCGTCAGGGGCGACGTAGGGGCCGGGTAGGGGCCGCTGAGGGGCCGCTTAGGGGCCGGATAGGGGCCGCGTAGGAGGCCGCGTAGGGGCCGCGTAGGGGCAGCGTAGGGGCCGCTAAAAAATTTTTTAGGGCAGGGCGCAATGCGTGCGGGCAGCTAAAAAAAAAATTCTTATGGTGGGCCCTTAGGAAGGAACGGTCCCATGTAGGAACCCGCTCTATACCATGTGAAGAATGAAAACAGGAATGAATGAACTACGAATGAGTTTGGTACAAAAAAGAACCTGTGCCCCTTAGAGACTACCCCACTACAGCCTAAATATGCTAAGGCATATATATCTGACATGCCTGCGCTATCTTGTGCTGTCCGAAGTGAGCGCATTCAGCTAATGGCAGGTGGTTGCGAATGGCTAAGCGGGCAGCAGCATCACGAGTAAGCCACTGTGAGCGAGTCGAATTGTCAGCTGTGGCGGGAGGGGCAAGTAGCAGCGCCTGTCGCTAGGTCAAACAGCGAGACACTGTCCTTAGAATCGCTCAGTAGGTACAGCTGCAGGTCGTCTAGCCAAGTGTCAAACTAAACCGGTCTGCCCTCATGATCAAACGCGAGAACCCGAAGCGAAGCCATAGCTGTGCAGCACGCAGGATAGCAGTAGCAGCAGTAGCAGCAGTAGCAGCAGCAGTAGTTGCTGTAGCAGTAGCAGCAGTGACAGTGGGGCAAGGGGCGGGGCCGGGCGCGGGCTAGGGACGGGGCCGGGTGCGGGCTAGGGGTCGTCGTGGGGGGCCGGGCGCGGGCTAGGTACAGGGCCGGGCGCGGGCTAGGTACGGGGCCGGGCACTGGGCTAGGGACGGGGCTGGGCGCGGGGCTAGGTACGGGGCCGGGCGCGAGCTAGGGACTGGGCCGGGCGCGGGCTAGGTACGGGGCCGGGTGTTGGGCTAGGGACGGGGCCGGGCGCTGGGCAGGTACGGGGCCGGGCGTTGGGCGCTGAACGGGGCCAGGCGCGGGGCTAGGTACGGGGCCGGGCGCGGGCTAGGTACGGGGCCGGGCGCTGGGCTAGGGACGGGGCCGGGCGCTGGGCAGGTACGGGGCTGGGCGTTGGGCGCTGAACGGGGCCGGGCACGGGGCTAGGTACGGGGCCGGGCGCGGGCTAGGTACGGGGCCGGGTGCTGGGCTAGGGACGGGGCCGGGCGCTGGGCAGGTACGGGGCCGGGCGTTGGGCGCGGAACGGGGCTGGGCGCGGGGCTAGGTACGGGGCCGGGCGCTGGCTAGGTACTGGGCCGGGCGCGGGCTAGGTACGGGGCCGGGCGCGGGCTAGGGACGAGGCCGGGCGCTGGGCAGGTACGGGGCCGGGCGCTGGGTACGGAACGGGGCCGGGCGCGAGGGTAGGTACGGGGCCGGGCGCGGGTTAGGTACTGGGCCGGGCACGGACTAGGTACGGGGCCGGGCGCGGGCTAGGTACGGGGCCGGGCGCTGGGCTAGGGACGGGGCCGGGCGCGGGGCTAGGTACGAAGCCGGGCGCGAGCTAGGGACTGGGCCGGGCGCGGGCTAGGTACGGGGCCGGGCGCTGGCTAGGGACGGGGCCGGGCGCGGGCTAGGTACGAGGCCGGGGGCGGGGCTAAGGGCCGACGGGGCCGGGCGCGGGCGCGGAACGGGTCCGGGCGCGGGCTAGGGACGGGGCCGGGCGCTGGGGTCGACGGGCCGCGTAGGCTAGGAGCGACGGGCCGGGCGCGTAGGCTAGGGTTGACGGGCCTAGGGGGGGTTACTAGCAGCGTAGCAGGTGGTGGGCCCAAGGAACCTGCTCTGATTCCATGTCGAAATAACGAACGAGAATGAAATGAACTAGCAAACAGTTCGGTACAAGTACTAACCCTAATTGGGTTGTACCCCTTATGGGCTACCCCACTACAGCCTACACAAATGTATAAGCTATAATGTTCTGACATAAAAAAACTATAAGTCTGTTTGGGAAGGGTAATTATGTTGGTACCGTTTTTAACGAACTGTCAAAGTTTCCAGTGCAACACTTGGTGGCTCAGTTGGTATGAATAGGTATTGGACCTGAAAGATAACAAGCTCACTTCTCACTGTAGGGAGTATTTTGAAGGGGCCCATTTGGTGTTTCGTCTCGCTATGGAGCATTCGGTACCTCATCAGTTTAATTGGGTTTGTACCCTATACAGTCAGAGATGTAAGTTCACTACCCTGTTTTTCGAAGGGTACAAAAAAACTTACACTTTCTGGTCTAGGGTAAAAATTCCATTACCCTTCCTGGGAAAGGGTAACTGAAAAAAACGGCCGCCAGAAAGGGCAAAATTGGTATTTTACCCTGATAACGAGAGCCCTGGCGCCAACCGAACAAGGCCCTAGTTTGCTAGCGCCGCTAGGTTGTCGTCGTAATCAGTCAGGCCTTGTGTGGCTGAGATGAGAAAAGGCTCCCACAAAACTTACGAGTGATTCTGACTTGCACCCTCCCGCACAAGATGCAAAACCCCTTCCAATAAATCAGCTACCGGAAGGAGCTTTGTCGAAATGGTGATGCAAAAATAACGGGCAAGTTGAGAGAAATAAATTGCATTTATGGGTAGAGCATTTACGGAAGTTGCTTCAAATTGTCTCGTCGGTAGCATCACCACCCAACACTGCAGTCCTGCCAGCAAGCTTTGCAAGTAGTCTGGCTCCGGTACCACGTCTCAGTCCGTGATGCCATGGGAGACTCGGTGCGATTGGGGTGGGTGGGGACCCGATCAGTTTGTACTGCACTGAACGGCTTGCAACTCCATCGGTACAACAAGTGCTACAGTTTTCCCAGAGCTGACGCCAGCCGAGCCAAGCCCAAGCTCCCCGAGCCTCCCACTGCGGCTCGGCGGCGGTATAGCCGAAGCGCAACAGCGCTGGCAACCAGAGGGCAGGCAACAGCAAGGGCGAGATAGGCCAGGTGCCATCTGGGGGAGGTTGCACCTGCCCAGCCTGGGGAGGTTGCAGCTGCAAAGAGGTCGGTGGAGGGTGCGTGAGAGGGAGAGGCGGGGGGGTGGTGGGGCAAGTGCAGGTGGTGGTGTGGAAGGTGGGGTGGGTGCTCGTGGTTGGGGTTGAGCTGGTGGGTGGCTGTTGCTGGATCGGAGTCCTCAGACTGTGTAGGTTGGGAAGGAATGATAGGGAAGGGCGGGGGGAATATGCTTGGTGGCTTTGGCCGTCTAGACACAAGTAAATGCTGTGCAATGCGGTTGTGATGGGTAGAGAAATGGAAATGCATGTGAACGAGGGGGATCGGACATGGATCGGCCATCAGAGGGGGTGGGGATGAGGAAGCGAAGAAGGGATGGAAAGAGCTAGCAAGCTACGGCTGTTGATCACACCTTGTGCTGACGCATGGGCACTGTGGATCGACGAGCGGAGAGGGGCGATTGAAGAGCTGCGAGGGAGGACATCGGGAAACAGAAGGGGAAGGGGATGAGGAGGTGAACTTCATATGGAGCGTGTTTGAGCATATTACGAGGTGCCTGTGTAGCTCAGAAGATTTTTTTTTTAAGACATCCCAGAACTAGACTAGAGGGGATGAAGAGGTGAAGAATTTGAGGAGTGTATGCTTGGGGTGCCTGTGTAGCTCAGAAGAATGATGTGCGGAGTGGGATGAAGAGGAAATAGTTAAGAGGAGAATGTTAGAGAGCATGTTGAGAGGAGCATGGTAAGGAGTGGGTTCTTCTGAGGTGGTGTCTGTGTGTTCTGGGATGGTGTTGTGTTTGGCTGACTTGGTGGAATCAACATAAGG